TCATTGTAATAATAACAATTTTATCTAATTATTAATATAAACGTAGATTAGAAATTAATTTGAATAAATGAATCATTAATTGTTACGATTTTGGTTTGTTTTTTTCGCTCTCTAAACATTAACATCATGTTGAAAGACTTGGAAACTATCATATTAGTTATCGTTAATTGTAATAATTAAAAGTAATAACACAGCAACAATTAAAGTAACCAAACCTTAATTGTTACACTACAAAATAAGAATCAAATGAAAGACTTGTTAACAAGATAATATAAGGAAACATTTCTAGTGATCAAATAATAGATTACAATTAACAAACTTATCAAGCTCAATGGAGTAAACAAATTAACTCTGAAAAAAAAAGAAAACCAGATTAGACATTAATTGTTTGTTAATCGTGAATAGTTAACAACAATTAACCCACTAGAAGTTGATAAGATCAAGGATAAATCATAAACATTAAAATCAAGAGTCAAAAGTAAAAGTTGATTACCTTTCCTAATCTTTAGCTAATTATTAGCCCAAAAAATAACAACAAAAACAAATGATCAACCTCCTCATCTTCATCATCTTTATCATCCTTATCATCTTTATCATCCTCATCATCTAATAATGGGATCGGTTAATAAGGATTCGTGCTAATATACATTATATATTGTTCATCTTATTAAGGTCAAAGCCTACGGGATATTAATAGGAAGCATAGATTAGACTTTTTTAGTTTGCTCAATCAACGGTTATCATGGTAATTAATGTTACCTTGATTACAATTAAAATCCCTAAATTGTTATGGTTAATTGTTGAGAGATTCAATTGTTTTTACCTTTGTTTAATTTTCTTTTTTTCCTTTCATGGGTTACATTTCAATTCATCCATTCATCAATTCATTCATTGGAGATTAAGATTAGTTGTAAAATTATTCTCATTGTTTTAATTTTAATTCTTGACTTTTATTATTACTTAATTTTGGATGATAACATTCAACTCATACTAATGAATGACCATCAATTATCATGGTGATGATTATTAATACACTAAACTGACCTTTATCAGAAGCCGTATCTTAATGTTTTGTTTTTGTTTATCAAAGTCTCAGATTAATTAAGCATAATAATCATCAAGTCTTTAAACGTGCTAAGGTAAATATTATCATATCATTTACACACCTTAATCTGTACACGTTGAGATAATCTCTTAAGCTAATTAATCTCTTTACTTTTTTTTTCTTCTTTGTCTTACTTTTCCTGTGAATAGAATCAAAGTTGTTTAAGAAAAAGATGAAATCTGATTATCCTCTCAACTCATCATCATCATCATCATCATGAAGAAACTATTTATGAGGTTTTCCTACCTTTCGTCATCATCTTTATCCTTTATACCTGTGACTTTTTACCAACTTCTTTACACACTTACCTTTAAATCAGATTATTTATGACTCTGATCCGGATAAAGATGATGATCATTTCTCATGAATAACATCATGTTAACAATTTTTTTATCGTTATCTTTTTCCATACCTTATCCTTGACTCTTATTACCAAATGACTTTTCATCATCATCTCTGATGAATTAGAGTCTTTATCAACAAGCTAAGACATGGAAGTGCTAAAGGTGAGATTTATGAGCTTCTCTTTCACCAAGTATCATCATGGAAAATCAAACAAGAGCTAAAATTAGTATTAAGATGAAGAAGAAGATGATGATGATTATGGCTATGGTTCAATGTTGCAATAGAATTGAAAAAGGTAAGAGGATGAATAGTGAAAGAGAAACAAGTTGATGAACATCTATTTATATTTATTATTTACCTGAGTGAGAATGAGAAGATCTCACACCTATGAGAGCAAAAAAGATGATGATAAAGATGATAAAGGAATAGAAGATAAATAGAAGATTCTAAAAAAAAGTCTCTCAATTTGAATTAAGGTGAAATGATTTACTCTGATTAAATAGACTGGACAAAAGAGATAAGAAAATGAATCGAAACAATTTTTTCTCTATCTTAATCTTAATCTCTCTTTGCCTCTCTTTCTCTTACTTCATCTGAATCTCCATTCTCTTAATCTCATCAACATGCATTAGGTGTTATTAAGATTCTCAATTAATCTAATCTGTAGCTTCTTCCCATAATTATCATTTAGCTTTTCCATCCTGTTTATCAATCGTATAAAGAAAAATGTTATCCAACAATCAGAGTGAAGTTTATCAATTCCATTAATCTAGTTGATGAATTTCATCTCATGCTTGGGTTAATTGTGATTACTGAGATTAAACAGTTAACATTTAAAACCTTTATCAATTTCACCTTCAAATCAACAATTTAACATCAATTTGTAAACTTTTTTCTTCTTCTTGTCATTTCACCTTCACCTTTGTTGTTGTTGGTGTTTATTTTACAGGTAAAACTTTTACCTTCTTATCAATTAATTGTTACCCTCAAAATAAACTACAAGTTAATTGCATTTGATAATCTCAATTGCAATTAGATTATCATTACTTTTTTTACAACATCCTTTTAATTTTGTTTCTTTCTTCCTCTTATATCAACATTATTATCCAATTGTAATGCAAATGGTAATCAGCTAATTGTTATGAGTTTGCAACAACAACAACAATCAAAGGTAAAAATGATAATAAATATGATGAGTCTATTTGATTATTATCACAAACAAATAAATCTATTGCTAAATTATATCCGATAAGTTAATCTGATCTTGTTATATTTTCCTGGGGATTAATATCAATGTCAAATCTAAACAATAATAAATTGTAAATTCAATGGAAATGATTGCTTCTTATATTATGATTCTCAATATCAAAAGGTGAACAAGAATTGCTTTGATTATCATTGTGATAGCCAAAGACTATGACATTTATATTAAGAACCAGTGGAAATGTTATTTTCTAGACTTGGGATAAATGTATTAACTTGAATACGATGCTTTTTCTGGGCTTGGGATTATATCACATGAAAGATGAGGATGAAGGGAGAGATACTGATGTTCACTGGACAGAACAGCATAAAAAACCTTAGGAAAAAATATCTCTCCGAGATATTCACCATTCAGAATCTATGATGATGACTATTATCATCATCATCATCTTCTTATATGATTTTCTTACATTCTAATGGCATTACAATGTTATCTTTGCGTGATTACAATTTTTTGCTCTCTCAAGTCCATATATTATCACCCAAATATAAAGAGACAGGGTCATGGGTCTAAATATAATGTATTGTGTGACATTTATTTGAATGAGAGACAAATAGATAACACCATAATCATGGTAAATATTAGCAAAAGAAAAGTATATCCGATTGATTTGATCAGAAATGTTCAGAATTAGTTGAATCTTTTATATTATCATCGCCATCATGAAAACTATGAGTATATATATACATCTACATGCATAATGTTTGGCTCATAATTCAATTGTTATTGTTACTATTATCCTTTCAAAGTTTTCCTTATTTTTATCATTGTTTCATGTTCTGTATTCTCAATGAGATATTTATCTTTATGTATTATATTGTAGCTTTCATGGGAATGAGAAAAATTTTGAATTTCTAACTTTTTTTCATCAGAAATTTTTCATTACAATCTAATACTACTCAATAGATGAAGGAAAAATATTCTCCGAAAAGTTCATGGCAATTTATCAATTGGTAAAGATACAATACTCTTCATGGGGAATTTGACTTGAAGGTTTTCATTGACTATGAAAACCGATTGAGTGTAAGGTTCAATTTGGTTCATGACCAATTTCAAGGTAACCTGAATGAATACCGAATGAAATTAGAAACCTGGGCGGAAATAAGTCTTTAGGATTAAGAGTTTAGAATTTTTTTAGAAAAAAGAACTTTTTTTTCGCTCTCTCTCTCTCTCTCTCCTTTTCTTCTTTACCTTTTGCCGACACCTTAATCACAATTCGAGTTGATATTAATCATACTCTTTGTTTCAACTGATTTAAGATTGTTTGTAAATCATAATTGCGTGATTACAATTATGATTACGATTATGATTAGGTAGCAATGATTATACTTGTTGCTATTTGAACACATTGTCGTTTCATCATCAACCCACAAGGTATGATAATGATGATGATGGTTTAAGATGATGAATTAAGTATATATTTGATGAGGATGAGAAATTAATGATGATGATGATGATATTAATAAGCCTAATCTAAAGTGATATCCACGCAAAGATAAACTTGTTTAGCATTTTTTTTCTCAATCAACTGTACATAAAATGAGCTTTTGTTGTTTCTTATTTTCTGTTTATATACAGAAAATATTTTAAAATTCAAACGGATTAGGATAAAGTTTAATCTTTTCTTTTTCATCATCTAATCACAATTCATCAACTGTCCATCATCATCATTAGGTTTCCATTTCTGATAAGGTACTTTGAACACTTCCTGAGTTACTTAAAGCAAATCAAATATAAAACTGAGTGATTCTGATTGATTATCTAAAAAGAAAAGGTTGAAATCATTTAATATAATCACCATGAAAATCAAGAAAAGGATAAGATACAAAATATTCAATATCTTTCAATCATCATGAAAATACTGATTGAAAAAAAAAGATTTCAATCAATATAAAGATAAACAAAATTCATCATGAATTTACAATCAATATTTTCAGATTCATTGAGAAAACCAAAAAGTAAACAGAAAATAAATGTTTCAAATATCCATTAGGAAAGAGACTCAGACATGATCAATTTCATGAGATTTCATCAATGATACTGATCAGCATGTTGAAATTTTCAACCATCAACCTTTTAGTTCAATTAAAATTTTGATAATCAAAAGTTAATTTAGTAACTAGCAATTCATAAGAAGGAAAAATCAATTAAAACAAGATTAAGAAACAACAGCAAAAAAACAAAGTTGATTGAAAGTCTAATGAATTAATTGATTCAATTAGCAGGATAAAATTTCCAGCAAACTAAACATTGAATGAAAAGGTGAAAATTGATATAAACAAGAGATTAAGAGATAAACTAATCATTTAATTAGATTTAGTTCATGTGTTGATAAGAGTGGAAAAAGTTCAGTTTAGAATCAGAATATTTCTCATGTTATATTATTTAGAAAATGGAAAAGTTATCGAAACTTACATGCATAGTTTAAGGTCGCATTTCGACTTGTTGCTTTACCGATCTCATTACGAGCCACACACCAATAGGTTCCAGTATCTGGATCCTTTTTATTGTGAATAACATGGAGGAAAAAAGTGACCCTGTAGGTAGGACCATTCGATTATGATGTTTACCAATCTTTTTACCGTCTTTGTACCATTCGATTGTTGGATTAGGATTACCTTCAGCTCGACAATCTAATTTGGTTGGTTCATTTCGACCCACAACGGTATCAGAGGGATGTTCAGTTATTCGGGGTGGACGAAGATGATCAGTTGATCCTATTATTTGAGAAAAGAAAGAAAAGATTTATGGTCAGAGGAAAAGATGATAATCTAATGGTCAAAATTGACTAAATTTGATTATGAGAAGTAAATCTTGATGAGAAGGATGAGAAGGACGAGAAGGATCATCAATTGTTATCATTTAATGTATTTTACTGGACAATTGGTATGAAAAGTGGGGAGTAGGTTATTGATTCAATTTGATTGTAATAGTTTATGTTATTGTTTGGTCAAGAGTGTCAAAGGTATTATGTATTGTTAGATTAAGTATAATTCAATTTCCTAACATGATAATCCCTTGTTTTGATCATCAGCTGATCAGTTACTTTCATCTGGTTCATTTAATGTATGAAAAATTATCACTTTTAAAGTGGATTGTTGGTTAAAGAGATGATTATTTACCATTATTATTGAATGATTTATTGGTCATCTCTATTTATTGACTATGAGAGAGTGAGAGAGAAAGGGAGAGAGTAAATTGAGATGATTATGTTGATGATTGGTCAAGATGGATGAGATTCAATGGAGAGTGGAAGTTGCAAAAATGCAAAAAAGTAAAACAAATGGGCATTTTGTCATAAAGATAACCAGAAGGGTCAAGCTTTGAGTGGCTGACCAACAGCTAATCCAAACTTAGAAACAAATGTCATCAGAGAGAGAGAGAGAGAGAGAGAGAGAGAGAGAGAGAGAGAGAGAGAGAGAGAGAGAGAGAGAGAGAGAGAGAGAGAGAGAGAGAGAGAGAGAGAGAGATTTAAACTTCCTCTTGTAGATATTTTGTGGGAAATTACTTTTGATTGTATCTAAACAATTGACTGATTTTCTAATCATTTTGATGATAACCAGATTATCTTTGGTTCGTTATTTAAAATGTACCGATTTGAGAGCAATCAAGCTGAACACAATCAATTGGTTAAACTTGATTGTTTTCATTTCTCACTTTTCATTTTAAAAGATTTAGGTTGATCACAAATTAGTGATTTATTAGTAATCAATCACATCAATTTAGACACAATCAGTGAATTATTATCAAGTTTTCATTTGATTAGTTTTAAATCAATTTCAATTTTCATCATTATGACCCAGATAAATTTGGTGATGCTTTAATTAACGTTGACCAGTTGATTTTATTGATAAATGAAACATTTCATCATTTTTCTTGGCCAATTAAGGTTAATCATCACGAATCAATTGATAAACATGTTAATTGGTGTGGTCATTATCATGAACCAATAACAAGACGAAAAACAAACTGATATAATTGTTTACTTATCATTCTCATTCAAAGTTAATCTCATTAGGATAATTTACTTTTCCATGATGCTGATGATCAATTCTAAGGATTATCCTAATAGTAAAGATGAGAAACATGTTTACCGTTATAATTCATTGATCAGCAATAAGAAAAGAAAGGCAATCACCATCATCATCATCATCACTCTCAACTTAGATGATTGGAAAAATTGAGCAAAGAGAATCAAAAGAAATCGATCAAGAGTATTGATCATCATCATCATGATTACAGGGGAAAAAAGAGAGAAGAAGAAGAAAAAAGTGAGATAATAATCTGAACACGTAGTAAATTGTAGTAAAGGTGATTGGAAGATATTGAATGAAATTGAGGTAGAAAATGGAAGATGGGAAAAAATATTCATTCTAAGTGACTGGTAACTGTCAATTTTGATTCTTCAACTTGAGATGAAATAGTAATTGTAAACATTTAGATATTCACAACCACGAGAATCAACGGAAGCTTAATCTTCATCTCATTGAGTATTATCATCATGGTCTCTCAAAGTTTCAGAGGTGAAAGTTACTATTCATAAGATCCTATGAATGTTTATTGTTCTTGACTTTGTTGATCATTTCGGGATGTTGTTCATTATCATTTTCATCTTCAATTGGATTAACTATCACTTGGAATAATTTACTCACTTACACCCTCAAGCTCATTCATTCATTCAAATGAATTTTACATGAGAGCATCAAGAGAATCAAGTTTCAAGGGTGAATTTTTTTGCTACCTTTCTAAAGCTCTAGAAATTTACAAAGCTCAAACTTTTTTTTTCTAGCGAAATAAATGAAGGTGGAAAAATATATTCTAAATAGGGATGGAAACACTCATGGAATTTATTTCAACATATTAACATTTCCAGTTAAATGCTATTTAGAATTTAAATTGTTAACAATCAGTTGATTGCAATTTATTATTGTTGCAGATTTGCATTCAAATGATTTTACGTTTAACAACAAAGTTAACAAACTATTTAGTGTATTTGTGTTAATTGTACAGAAAGAGAAAAAGTTTAACATCATCAATTGAGGGCCATTAATTATTCGAGGTCAATTGAACATTTCCTATTAATTTACACTACTATTTCCATGTAATTTTTTTCCATAGACTTTCAATATAAACATATCATGTTGATTATAAAAAGTATCATCAATTGATAAAAAAGTGCCAACTATTTCATACTCTCTGTGTGTTAATGATACACATTATGTGTTACATTTACAATAACCGGAAACACTTTTTACTGGGTGGCCTTTGACTTTCTTAAGGCTGAACTTACAGAGAGGGAGAGAGATTGATCTTCATATGGATACAACAACATTGGAAAACAAAAGTTACTTTGAAAGATGGAGAAGAGAGAGAGAGAGAGAGAGAGAGAGAGAATTACAGAGGAAGAATGAAAAAAGAGCTTGCAATTTGTTGTAATTGTCAAAGTCGAAAGCTACTAATACACATAGACTATTGCAATTACATCGCTAATTGAACATTAAGACGAAGGGAACATGTTAATTGTGCGACAATCTGTTTTTCTCATAGGTCACAGTTATTTTTGTAAATTCTTTTTTTTCTCTCTCTCTCTTTTCCTCTGTAAATTTTACTATTATTGCATCAATATCGACATTTGCATTATCATCAATCGTTTTTCTTGTAAAAATGTAGCGATTTTTTTGTGCTCTGTGTAGTATTTGAATTACATTTTCCAGTGAGAACAAAATCTTACAAAATGATCATTGGATCTGCAATCAGCTTCATTTACATTGATCTAATTGTCTAGTTGATTTTGCTGTTAATCTACAACTTGATTGGTTTAATTGTGATTAAATTGATGATTTATCCCTGAATTAAGTAGATTATCAATCAAATAAACATCATTTACCCTCAACCAGATAACCGTTGTAATATTTGTACTTTTCATCCCTTGTCAATGAATCAAAAGCATTTTTTGTTGCAAATCTGATTTGCTTGTTTTGGATTAGATGAGATTTGTCAAATTATCATCATCATCATCATCATCATCATCTGATGTGTATAAGAAAATGGTCACGTGACTATTGAACAATATATATCATATTTACAAAAGTCTTTGGGTTTCTCAGGAAACCCTATGAAAAACAATTTCCCCATAGATGGAAATGTAAGATTTTTCCTTATAAATTAAACTGTAAAATTGGTTTGACACACTTTGGTTACAGTTATTATATTGGCTCCAAAAAAAGGGAAACAATGAGCATCTCTATGTAAAAATCAATGGATGAGAATGATGAAAAGGGAGAAACAGAGACAAAATTGCAGAGATGAAAAGATCGAGAGAGAAGCAGATGAGAGAAAAGATGAATGGATGATAAGAATGATGAAGAGAAAGAGGCTAAAGGTCAGTTGATAGAGAAAAAGAAAAGTGAGAAAAGATGAAAAGATGAAAAGAGATGATGATAAAGGTGGTGATTGAATGAGAAGGTAAGAAAACAAGATGATGATGAAAACAAAGATGAAGAAAAAAAAAGCTGAAAGTCAAAAGAAATGAAGAGAAACACACAAAGAGAAGATTAAAACGGAAGCTTCGAAGTTCTAAAATGTTCTAAGAAAATGAGAGAGTCCATTGAATAGGTAATTGTACCGAAGTGCCAATAATCACAACTATTATCGTCGAATGAAAAAAAAGCAAGATATCATTTTCTTTTCTCTTTTCATCATCATCTCTCATTATATACAATCATCTTTCAACACATACCACACATTTCGTCCTCATCATCATTGACTTTATCAATTACCTTTTTTTCACAGGTAAACATTAAACACTATTAACTTTCATCGGCTCTTCATCACAGAGATAAAAATCATTCCAATGGTAGAAAAGTCATAAAAATTAGACTCATCATCCATTCAATTGTAGAGTTGTAAATTTACACTCAGGTAATCAAATTAACAAAGAGAGCATTAAATCCCATTGAAGTATTTGATAAACAACAATAATTTTGTCTCAAAAGGTTTAGGGTTGAATATTATTCAAATGATCATCACACTAATGGTCATCATCAATCAAGTACAATGGTAACTAGATTTTTTTTATATCGATGATAAATTCATTCAATGACCATACGAATCATTAAACACATTATGTTTATATAATTTCCCACGATTGTAAATATCACATAGACTTTTTGCTATCGAAATTCATTTAAATGAATTGAAAGATGAGAATGGAAAACGGAACAAAAATTTATCTGAATATGAACTTAAAGATTATCATTTTTTGGTAGAAATCAATTGATTACAATCGAGACCAGGATTCTCTCTCTCTCTCTCTCTCTCTTTCATAAGTTTAACTGATTGACCATTATCTCCATCGTCATAATTATAAACCATTGACCATTGATTGTTATTTTCTTTGACACTTTTGGTGGTTGATTGTCATTGTTATCAATTTATTATTATTATCATTTCAATGGCAGTAAATATCATCTGTTACTTTTTTTTGACTGATCAGTTTGAATTGATTTTCGAGATGACCATTGGTCAATCAATTATCGATTAATATAAATCATATGAATTCATCTTTAGTAAACTAGATTGACCATTTCCCTAAATGTGGGAGGAAAAGTGAATGATCAACAATGGTCAATCTTTTATGCTGATTTCAAGAGATGTGTAAACAACAACAATTTAACAACTGTAATAACAATTGACCAATTATTTGATTACTTTTTGACTTATAATCATAAACATGTTTACAATCAAGAGATAATTATTCATTAACTGACTTAAATTACTTACCTAATGTAAATAATTTGGAGTATGTTGTAGTTGGACAATCAGTTGATGGCATTGATGATGACGATAACAATTTACCATTAATATTATCATGATTGTTGTTGATCATGTTATTATTATTGTGATGATGGTTAATTGTTGATGTTGAATGATGATAAGTTACTTCACATTTGTAATTTGCTTCATCACTTAATCCTAAATTTTTAATCCTTAGATAAGTAATCGGTAAGAGTAATATTTATCGTCCATTGATATCCTTTCGGTTGACCAATAAATGAACCTGATACTTTGTGATGTCCACCACCAGTAAATGAATATGAATAAATATGTTCCCATTGTGACGAAACATTTTTAAACCAAGTGACCATTGAAATGGAACCACAACTTTTAATATTTACTTCACAAGGTAATGAAGCAATTTGATCACCAAATGTCGCGATTTCATGGACATGATTAGATATTGAAGATGATGAAGAGGACGATGATGATGGAAATATTGGAAATGATGATGGAGATGGAGACGAGGAAAATGAAGAAAATGAAGATAAAGATGATTGAGATAATCCTTGAACATTTGGAACACAATAAGTTATCAATAGAAAGATAATTAAACAAGAACAAAGAAAAAGTAAATTAATCAATGAAGATAAATTCATTTTCATTCACTTTAATTATTTTTGATTTAATACATTAAATAGTTGATTAGTTGATTACAATCTTAAAGATTATCAATTTTCTTCTAGAAAACACAAACAAGCATGATAATAATTCCCATTGAATTGATTTCAATCCAATTGAAATGATTGACACACAGAAAAAATCAAATTCACATAGAAACAATCCAATCTTGTTACTTTTCAGAATTAAATAATTACGTTAATTGTTGCTTTAATTTCCCTTTTCCAATCATTGTTAAATAATCTTGTTGACTGTTCACATTGAATTTTATTAGGGTAAGTGTATTAATCTGATGTTGACAATCAACTAAATTGCCGGTTAACTGTTAACTAGAATGAAACTTTTCTTTTTTCTATTTTATCACAACAGAGCAAACTCATAAATCGTCTTCATCTTTAAAGGTTATCATCATTTAACATTAGGTTTACATCTCCATCTATTGGATGATTAACTTATTTTTCATAGGGAAATCCTGCATAAGTATCAATATTTTCACTGCAGATTTTATTTGTTTCTGTTTTAAATAAAGTTATCTTACTATATGCAGTTCATGTTTACAGAAGTGTGAATACAGAGTATTAATAGTAACAGGTACAGATCTTATGATTGTTACAGCTACTTAATGACTAAACCATTTTTCGGAAACTATTTCACACCTTCCTCTTGAAAAATTTAAAAGCTCAACTGAATGCGTCCTCACCTCGTGATCTGATATGACCTTTAGAGTTTGTGATAAGAGATCTGCTCTGCCAAAAATCTTTAAATGACCTCTTCATGATATAAACGAAATGACATTCTAATTCATAACTGAAATTCCTTTCCTTCTTCAAGTGAAGGGTCATTCTGCAAATAAGTAACAGCACCAATTTGTGAGCAAAAATGATGTCTGTGTATTGGTCATTAATAAATATTGCATTACGATGTATGATTGCAAAACAAATTTGAAACGGTTCTGTCATATTATCTCGTTACTTTATGCTATCGAATCGTTTTGATTGCACTTTTCTGCCTGATTTTAGTTTCGGTCACTTTCTGTGAATATGTTTCAATGATAATATTTTCAGTTAATATCAATCATGATAAAATGGAATAATTCATAATATGAAATAAATAAAATAAAAACGCATTAACAAATTCATGAATAATATGCAAAAATGTGCAGATGAAGCCGAAGCTGCATCTGCTAGGTTAGGTTAGGATTTTAGGTTGAGAAGTTACTTGACTAAGGTTTGAACCCAAGTCTCGTTCTTAACTCAACATGTGCCTTCACCACCAGTCTGGTTGGTGAGGCATTTATAAATAAGCTTTCCGAGTTTAATACCATTCACGGATCTAACGGACTGAACTATTTTAGCACGACTTACCAAATGAGCTAGTTTTTTTAAAATATGCAGATTTGTTGTTCAGTACCAAATGTAAGGAATTCAAATAGAATTATCATATGGAAAATAGACTAAAAAGTAAATAAATTAATTTTAGTTAACTTTGTTTGAAAAGATTTATATTATATATCTTCAGTAATAAATATTTTCAATAATGAACATAAGGTAATAGTGTAATATTTTTAAGGATTTTAATTGACTACTCAACAGGATAAGTATCGATTGGCACATAGTATAAAATTTAATAAACCTTGAATATCGGTCTTGGTTGTCAGTAAACTTTATGAATTTGCAACTAAAACAGGTATTTGTCATCTTGAGCCCTGTTTAGTTTTACAAAGTTTTAGAAGTTCTTGTCAATTTCATACATATTAAAAACTTGGTTTGAGGTGTATAAATATTTATGTCGAGAAAGATTCGACGTATAACCTTTACCAGAGATAATTATTATCTGATGATCGATAGTTTTATTGGGTGTTCCATAAACCAGACAATACCGTCAACCAGCTTCGTGATTATTTATTGTTTTCTTCTCTTTTGTTGGAGAACTTGAAATCAATGGTCGAATGTTGTGATTTGCCTGACAACAAATTTTATTGATGATTTATGGTCAATTAGTCAAGTTCCGATGATACAAAAATGTCACTTGGGTCAAATTTACGATTAAGCGATGCTGGATTATTTGTTATTAATTTTCTGTTTTCGTTGTATGATTGTCGATTTCGTTTTGATCTTTGACGAGAAATTATGGTCTAGTTTAAATTTGAGGAGTAGAAAGAAAATTGTAAGTTTTTTATCAAAATGAAACATTTAATTTAAGGTTGTTCGAAATGCATCAATATCTCTCTGGTGGTTCTACAATAATAAAATTACATCTTTAATCCTTCTGGTAAACTAGTGTCTTCTTCAAATGACCCCGTTCCCTCTACGAATTCCTCGTACGTGCTCTTCTCTTTAAACGGTCTTTTACCAAGAATTTCGATCATATCATCGCGATTAAGAACCTCTCTTTCCAAAAGCCTTTGTGCTACCTGAAAGAATTACAAGATAGAAATAGCTATTATTCCATCATTACATGTATGATAATAGCAAAAGAAAAAAACGAGAGAAAATTCTGCATCAATTTACCTTTTCAACATCTTTTTTATTTTCTGTTAATAATTTGATTGTTCTATCGTAGGCTCTTTGAACTAAAGCTCGAGACCCGTTATCTATCAACTGTGAAGTAGCTTCGCTGTATGGTTTGTCCACTACAAGTTCACCAGGTTGTGGCATCTCGAAGGATAAATTTCCAACCTTTGAATTCATACCGAATTGTACAATCTGTGCATAAGCGTTTTGTGTCACTTTTTGAAGATCATCTTGAGCACCGGTGGTTATTTTGTTGAAGAAAATTTGCTCGAAGCGCGTCCTTAAAGTCATACACATTCGATCAAACAATTGCTCTGTGGTGTACAAATATTTTTCCGAGGAAGAGCTTTATCAAGAATATCACTACGTTTAGATGCCGCTAGTACAACCATTAGTTTTCGTATTGAAACCATCCATTTCGACTAAAAGTTGATTCAATGTGTTTTCTTGTTCCGAATGACCGCCGACATTTCGTCCTCCTCGCTTTCTACCGACTGCATCAATTTCATCAATGAATAATATACAATGTGCATTTTTCCGAGCCATGGCGAACATGTCACGAACACGAGATGGACCAACACCGACAAACATTTCCAAAAATTCTGAACCATTAACCGAGATGAAAGGGACATTTGCTTCACCGGCAGTCGCTTTTGCCAATAAAGTTTACCAGTACCTGGAGGACCAGTAAGCAAAGCGCCTTTGGAATCTTAGCACCAAGTTCGGTGTATTGTTGAGGATTACAAGGAAGTTGACAAATTCCATGATTTCGATCTTTGCTTCCTCACAACCAGCAACATCTCTGAACTTGACACCAATGTCCGTTGGATTAATCACTTTGGCCGTAGATTCTCCCATTCCAAAGATTCCACCGACCTCCATTCGTCCTCCCATCATGTTTCGAGATTTAGAAAAGTAGAACATACTACCGATGATTATCATAGTAGGAAGGAAACTGAGAAAATCTCGACTGTTTTTTGAATGAAAGGAGAAAAAGAAAGAAAGAGAAATTAACATTTTCTCATTACCAATGGAAATGAAATGAACTTGATGAATTTCATCACGATAATCAAACATCGTAATTGTTACTTACACTTCCATTTCATTTCTATAAACAACAGGAACATAATTTGAAGGTTCAATACTCATTTCGGCTTGGATATTTTCCAGGTTACGTTCAAAGGCATCGACACTTCCGATACTAAACCAAAGGACGGAAGTTGTATCTGCTGAGAGCATCGGAATAAAATTTAACTCGAACCCATTTCTTGTTGACTACCTCTAACTTTTCAACGGTTCCTCGAGCCAAATGATTGTTGACAAAATCTTTCCATGAGATCTCTTTGTATCTCAACTCATTGAGAACCAATAAACCCAAAGAGCTGAAGCTCCATAGGCGATATAAGGTAAAGTCTTATTTGATCCTGATGATCCTTTACCACCGCCGAAACTAAAATCCCATTTCAGGTATATTTATTTTGAGAAGATGAGGATGATGAGGAAGATGAAGACTTTGCTCGTGATGAGGTTCAAAACAGATTCTTTTCTCTCACTACTACGTTTAGCTGAACTCGATTCTCCAGCAGCTTCCTTGGTTTGATTCTCAGTTGGTGTTTTCTTATCTGTAGAGAGAAACAAAATGGCGTCAATAAAGAACATTCAAAATTCGACCAAATCAAAGTCACATCAAAATCACTTAAGAAAACAATTTAAGACACAAACAAACAAATAAAACAAAATGTCACCAACTCACTTGATTTACCAAAAAATTTCTCAAATCTTTTTGGTGGCTTATTACAAAATGACCTCCACTGGGCAATCAGTTTACCCAATCTTGATGATGATCTTAAATGATGATGATCATGATAGTGTGAGAGTGAATTATTCAAAATCTAAAAGATGAAAACATGAAAAATAATGAAAAAGAAAAAATTAACAAATCAATCAACACAATGAAAAAAACAAGCAATGAACATGAAAAATGAGAATCAAACAAAAGAGACAAACCTGACATCGTCTTGGATTA